CCTGAGCTGAAAAATGGCTTCCTAACACAATTCAGCTTCCTAAAGCAGCAGAAAACTAGGGGAGCAAAAATGAGTGAATATTGTTAATTGCTAGGTTAATTGCTGGGAGACAATGGAGAAGGAAAGAGGACCTCCCAGTTTTGGCAGTGGTAAGGTGCTAAGTAGTCCTACATGCAATGGGAAGCTGCACCCTCAAAACTGCTCCTTAGACCAGGTGCTGTCTATACTTGATGTAAGTCTTCAGGATTTTATTCAAATTCCATGGCTACCAAATTGCAGAACACACGGTGCCTTAGTCATACATACACATTTCTAACTCGATACATGCTTATGTCTGAATCATCTTATCCCATACAGAATTAGGGAAGGACTCCAGAATTTGCTAGTAGAATGAACCAGCCTGTGCATCAGAGCAGGATGTAGTCAAAGAAGGTGTTTAGTAGGTCAGTTGTGCGTATATGCTGCTATCACAGCAAATGCAGGCCAGGCATGCTGTGCCAGCTGTGGCTCAATAGCTGACGGTCTGTAGAAGGTTCACTGAGCTGATACTGAAGTTTCATGCACATTCACTCTTTTAGCCTGTGTTGAATGCTCCTGCTCTGTCTGGCAGAATTCCTGAAGCAGAAGATGCTCTGGGAAATGTTCTTCCTCAGGGCAGACAGTACTTAGCTCTTAATTTTTTATGTAACCAGAAACCATATGTCTCAGTTTCTATTTTACAATCATATCCTTGTCTTAGTCCTAAATTTATCGATGTTCCACACCAGCCTCACTCACTGTTATTGACTATATTTAATTCCCTATTATTATATGAATTATATGAAATTATTTTTGCCAGGAATGCTGAATTGTGCCACTGAGGTTAGAGACAATGTTGCTTGTGCTAGAGAAATGAATCCCAGATCACTTTAAGTTTCCCACAGTATTATTTTGTCCCGTATCTTGTCAGCAATCTGAAAGTAATGTTGGAAATTTAGAAGTTTTATTTGCTTAGCTCGCTTAATTGAATAAATACAACAGCATTTGTAGGTGGTGACAGCAATGAATAGCTCAGCTTGAATTATTACTTCATAATTACTGACAGTGTCTTTAATTCAATATATGTCGGTGATAAATACAGTGCCTGTTCTGAGCAGAGGGACAGCCTCACGTTATGATCCTGATAACAGATCCATGTGTGTAGAACTTTATCTTGTGCAGAATTGCGGTAAAGCTATTAATGATCTGCAGGGGCCAGTCTGATTGCAGGCTGGATGCCTGGAAGATAGGCAGGTGGCACAAAGAGAGATCGACAGGCTGTGATTGATTTTGTACTGAATTTGGCCATTAGTTTTGTAACATATTTGGACAAATGCAAGTGTCTGTATTTTGTGCTAGACTGAAGCTCCTACCCCAGCTAGCATCTCCAATGCTCAGGTTTGGTGGGCCAGAGACCCACAGGAGGGCTGCCCTGAGGCAGCCAAGCTGACTGGCAGTCATGAGGATCCCGCCAGCCCTCCTCATCCCAGTTCCATGGTAAAAAGTCAAATCCCCCTCCCAATGGAAACATTCCCGGGAGATGCCTGCCAAACATCCAGCTCATGGCTGGAAATATCAACGTACAGCAAAAGGTACCCCTAAAGCAAGAATTTCTCAAGTGTTTCTGAAGAGGCCTGACTAAACCAACAAACACTCCCATTCATCTCCCAGCTCTAGGTGACAGTTTGATACTTTCTTCTCATTTTTTTTTTTTAGTCCATTAGAGTTCTTGTCCACGAATTGCTCTCTTGAATGTTTTTAATTAACAAAACAAAATTTTGGCTAATACTGGATTTTTTCAATCCAAGTAAACCAGCTTAAAATAAAAAATAAGCTGAAGCTCTGGCAAACACATTCAGGTCAGCCCTTCACTAGATAAATTGTGTAACTTTGGTAAGGCTAGTCTCAAAGACTGGATCACAGTGCATAATGTATTAAAAAATATTGGGAGAATTCCAGGATCCAGTATTAAGTGGGTAGTTGTAATTCCTGCAGGATAAAGAATGATAAAGAAACAAAATGCTTTAATCCTCCACAAATTTGTGTAACATTTAATCTAGCTACTAACCATATGATATTTCCTTTCTCGAGCAGTCTTAATTTGTTCCTAATTCTACTAATTTGGACTATAAAACTAAGGGAGAAAGTGGAAATCATCAGCAATTAAATTCATATTTCTTTGTAAAGCTACAGCTCATACATGACATTCATATTCAGAGCTGTGCAGGAATCCTCAGTGTGGGTCTGTGCTTTCAGGATAATTCATACTCACACAGCAGGTCAGAGCACAATCATCACACTAACACTGTGCACTCCTGTAGCACCTTTCATCTGATCATCTCAAATCACAAAACAAAGACAATTTAATACTAATGAAGCTTTTAACAATCTGGAAGCAGAATTCCCTTATGAGGCATAATAAGGCAGTAACCATCTTTTCTCTCCAGTGCTTCCCTCTCCCATAAACATCCTCGCCATTTTCTCCATCCAGCTGTTCTTCGGTTAGTCTCCTGTGTCAGCCAAGCCCCTGGGGCTCAGGCAGGAGGTTGTGTCTGCATCTGATAGGAAAGCGATGCATAGCTGGCTGTTGTCTGTGTCTTGCTTTGGCTACAAATTTGACATTTGAACCAGAGAATCATCAGCTTTATGGACGATTTGCAGAGATACCCCAGTGCTTTGCACTGTTGTTAACTAGGGTAACTCAAAGCTCTGTTGATGGCATCACAGCACTCAAGCCGTACAGCACTGCTTACAATGGTGTAGTGAGTGTTCATCACTAACCACATTGCTACACAGTGTCTTAAGTGTCTTAAGCTAAATCATTCCAATTAAATGAAAGTGTGTACAAAGGTACTGCATTAATTTAACTAAACCTTGCTAACTTATGATAATTTCCTTATATGGAAAGATGGACTAGATGACCTCTAAAGGTCCCTTCCAACCCAAACCATTCTATGATTCTATGATTCCGTATGGCCAAAACTGCTGTCCTCTGCTATCATGTCCCTGTAGCGCACAGCCATCATCATACCTAGGGTTCTTAAGCAGGATTGGTAAAATGGAAGGAGATGTTGCAGCGTACAACACAGCTGGTGTACCCTGTTTCCCGCAGCAATGCCGGGTAGCAGATCAGGCTGCAAGGGGTAGATAATCTGAACTGTCTCGCCTGCACTGAGGTGAGAAAAGGCCAGGACAGTTAAAGAAGAGTAACTGAAGTGCTGCGCAGCAACCTCCTATCTTGCCTGATAGTAACTTGTCTGTGTAACACTAGTTTGTCCTAAAGCAACAGCCTTACCAAAATGACATATGATGCCTTTATGTGGCTTGTCTGCTCTCACACAGCAGGCCAAAAAAACCCACTCATTTTCAGTCTTCTGTTTCAATCATTAGACAGTACTACTACACTTTAATTAAAATTTTTCTCCCTCTGTTTTACCCTGAAAAGGATAATTAATTATCTCTTTGTAGCAATTGCTCTCAGTGCCTGATGCTACTGAAACAGAATCTACCTCATAATTCTAAGTGCGATCTTAATGTCACATTATGATCACTTAAAATAGCAATAAAATTGTTTTGTCTAAGCCAATGCTGCACAGCATGCTCTTGCTGCGACACCATTAGCAGCAAGCATATGCTGCTGCTGCAAAGAGGAAAGCAGGTCTGGAAAATGTCTCAGTTCAGCATGCATTTAACTATATATGCAATGCTCTTCGGAATGAGAATGAGCTTTTCACATGTACTTAAGTGTTGTCCTGTCTTGGGGCTTGAGCAGGACTTCAATTAAAAACTCTTTTGGTTGGAGAATTCAGGAGTTTCTCCTTGCATAAATATATGTATATGAAAGCATATAATTGGGTCATAAGCTGTCACTGTCTTCTGCCCCTAGGTTCAGAAGCTTTGGAATGAAAATAAACCACTTCTGAAAATGATCCTATTAGAATCATCACACAAATCTTGATTCCCAAATGCTGCACGGAAATATATGACTTTTTAGCTTTTTTGCCCAATTAACTATGATTCCTCTTTGAAGCCTGTAGAGGGTGTGCTCTCCATTTCAAATTATGATTGAATGTCTTTCTGCAAAGTAGTAATCTAGCTCAAACTGAAGTTATAAATTAGCTCCAGATATTATTGGGTGAAATGTTATGGACTGAGACACACAGAAAGTCAGAAAAGATGACAACAAGAGTCCCTTTTGGAATTAAAAATCTATTGGTCTCACTGCAGATCTCACAGCGTATGGTCATTGTCTTCCTCTGTAGCTCAGCTGTGAGCAAAGATGAAGCTGTTGGCCTCACTTCAGACTCTTGTTCTGAAGCCTCAGAACCATATTAAAATAAAATTTAGCAGAGACTGTACAGCTCTAATCTCAATTCTTTTAATCAGGAATGAGATCTTCTTTTTGAAAAGCAAACTGTTCTTGACCAAACCACTGCAAAGTCTACATCACTTACAATTTTAGCGATTAGGAGGTACTACAATTTATGAATTATCTTACAGGAGTGCTTAGAAGTACCAAAGTAGATTACAGCACTCAGGGGTCTCAGGAGTACATCCCTGAACACTGACTCTGTCTTGAACAGCTCATTATCTAAGTAGGGAAGACAAAATATGGAAAAAAGGAATATTCTTCTCCCCAGTTAGCAGGTGGGGAAAGGAATGATAGCAATTATGTTGCCCCAGTTACAACATGGAGACTGTGGCAGAGCCAGAAACTGAAACTAGAGCTCCTGAGTCTCACTCCAGGTATTTAGAAGCAAGTCCCAAAACTTCAGTTCTGAGGAACTGTCTCTCTGTTGAGCCTTGCTCAATCAGGTACAGCTGTATGGCATGAGTGGGAGAGAGAGGCAGTCTTCTGCACCCGTCCAGCCCTTGCTCTCTAGGAGGGTAAATAACTGATTTATCGTGGGAGACCCAAGACACAGTAAACTGAAGTTGTTTTCAGTTCCATAGAAATTATTCTTCTATTTGTTCATTTTTAGGAACATGTTTCCAGCCAATCTTGTTGAGGCCACATTCAAGCAGGTAAGTGGCTATATTCCTTTTACCACTGATGAAAGAGATGAGCCAGCGTCATATAAAACATGTATCTTTGTAAAACAGAATCCAGATACAGACACTGCGTATTACTTCAGATATTTCAGATACAGATTAATGAGTCCCTTTCCATTAGCCTCAGCAGCCTTGGTATCTGAAGGCAAAACAAACAAGCATAAAATGCACAGTGTGACTAGAAAGTAGACATGCACATCTATATCAGCTCCACCTCCACCTGAGGACCTTGAGAAAGGTGCTGTAGGGAAGTGGAACAATTTATGCCGGTATGCCTAGAGCATGGTTTCTCTTACCACGGGACTGCATGGTCACAGAGTAGCTGGAATCTCTTTAAGAGCACACAGTAACACCGCGCAAAGGAAGAACAGAATACCATATCTAATTAAAGCAACAAAATAATGCATTTGGGAAGAATCTAATTACTCAGATTGGAATTTGGCCAGAAAAACTCATCTAAAAGTTCTGAGTGAGCAAGAGGCATGGCTATATTTATTTCACCTGGTGGAATATTTCATGGGAACCTTACCTCTGGTGAGACAAAGAGAAGGGCACTCAGAACCTCTAGGGAGTCATTCCCCATTATGTCTTATAGGAAAGTAACTTGTCATTCCCCATTATGTCTTATAGGAAAGTAACTTGTCATTCCCCATTATGTCTTATAGGAAAGTAACTCTATCAGGAGACGATGTGTTTGCTGCACAAGGGTCTGATTATAGGAAACTCTGATTTTGTTATGCTTTCCCAAAAATTCAACTGTTTTTACAGATTTTAGCAGCATAGGGACAGGAGCTGTCATTCTTTTCATGCTTCTCCCTTTAGCATGCAGCCTTGTTGAAACAGAGCACTTAGGAGGTCTCATTAAACTATTAATTCCTGAAATTTTAATGAAAACTATTTTGTTTTCTTTCAGTATCGCACCAAGAGTATTCCCATCATTAAATCTAACAAAGCATCATCTGAAAGCACCACTCGACGCATTATAATATATGGAGTCCAGGATGAGAATGGATCCAATGTCCAGAATTTTGCCTTGGATATCACTCCCCCTCCTGAAGTGATTTACAAGTCAGAACCAGGCACTAGTGACGGCATGAATGTGCTAGGGATTGTGATATTCTCTGCCACAATGGGTAGGTTTCAGACATGTTTAGTTTGTAATAATCCAAGTATCCATTTAAGAGAAATAGATAGGCGATGGGTTTTTTGGTTTCTTGATTCACCTTTTTTATCTGCTTCTATCTAAACTTTGTGGGGAAAAAGGCAAGACTGTTCCAGAGCTGTTCCCCCAACCTTTTGAAGATAAATCTTCAAAATCCTTCATGTCTTTTGTTCCATGCAGTTCTGTTTTCTGTGCATGCACTTACATTCTTTTTGATTTATTTTTTTCTGGATTGTTTTGAGCTTTTATTTATGAACCATTTTTTCCTGACTGTAAGAAACACTAATACAGTGTGCTCAGAGGAGGTAGGAATTATTATACCAGGTCAGACCCATAGCCCCTCTGCCAATACTCTGTTTCACTCTCTAGACAGTAGTAAAAATCCCAGATGAAGTTTCAAGCAATTCTGAAATAAACAAGTCCGTAGCAGACTTTCTTTCCAAAGCCCGAGAAGTTAGTACACTTTTAATGCCCAGAGCTCAGCTTATTGTATTGCTGAGTTGTATTACAGGAATAAAGAACTTCCCACACTGCTCTTGGTTCAGGGGGCATCAGGCTGAGACACCCCTCCACTCTCATGGCTGGACGTTTCACTCCTGCAGCTGGCAGTACAAGCAAAACCTGCTCCCAGACCAACTCCTTGGCTGAAGTTCCCCTCACCAGGCAGAAAATTACTTTAGCCCTGGAACCTGTCCTGTCTTTTGTTCTTACCCATTCTTAGTCACATTTTACCACATGATTAGTGTAGAATATGACTGTCACTGGTAAGAACCCAACGCAGATAACGAGCTTCAGTGATATCTTGAATAAGTGAGCTACAAAGGTATGTTGTTTTATCAGTTTTAAATCTGTGGATCTTCTTTTTGATTGAAACTTCCTGATTTTATTTTTGCCATCCTGCAATGCTGATAGTTATATACCATCTAGTAGCTTATCACAGAGGACTCTAAGAGCTTCTGTCTGGCTAATTTATTCAGTTTAACTTGCTGGAGGAACTCATTGGTGCCATGTGTGTTATATCACGTTTGTGGATTTGGAAGAGGGAATTCAAACAAACATGCCCTAGTTAATCATAAAATTCTGATGATTTTTACAAGAAAATGCTGATCAAATTTTCCTTATCCAAATTTATTTTTGGAAGTTAATTTGGTCAGAAGAGGTAGTTCCATAAAACATCTTTGACTGTATTTATTATATTATGGTTCATACCAGCACAAGGGGTCAAAAATCAAGCCTGGAATTACCAGATTTGTCTCTCTTTTTTAGTTTCTCCATATGAATATTCCATATGAAACACTGCTGGAAACTGGCTGTCCCCCAGTTTATAGTATTTTATAGTCAATTCCCAAAGTACAATGTCACAGGAAACACTATTCCCGTCAAAAAGTATTGGATATGAATTAATTAATTACATGTGCTTATTAGGATCAAGGGCAATTTTATACTTCTAAGCATAGAAGATCATTCATTGTCTTCCCAGAACTGAATTACTTTTACCATGCCCCTAAGTCTTGCTGGCCTAGGGTTCAAGAGATGGAAGTTGAGAGTTGGTTTCTTCCCAGGTGATGTACAGCAAATCAACTGCCAGTACTGCCACGTACAGCATAGTTCTGGTTGCTGGGTCACCTGTGACTGTATCAGCCACGAACAAACCTGAGACACTAAACCCTCAAAACTTGTCATCTACCGAACAGTATTTCAGACTGTCATTTTGAACAAAGGATGCAGCCAAGCGTTTATCACTGTCTTCAGCTTTCCCCCCCAAAAATGGAAGCAATGAAACAGAAGACATGTGGCTTGAATCTCTATGAAAGAAGAGCGTTCTTCCAAAGTTTTTATTTATTGCAAAAGAATGTATACAGGCCTTGGTGCTTGGTACCAGTTTTGCTCACTTTGGCTGAGTCTTGCACAAAGGTCTTTTTACATCACTTTGCCATAGAAAAATGGCATTAGGGTGGGTATGAGTTCTAATTACTGCCTTGACGCTGGGCTCAGCTGTGATTAGCTATACTACCTCTTCTCACACAGTGTGCAGGAATTTCTGTTAGAGATTATGACAAGTGGCTAAGAGTTGAGACATCTGATCTTTTTTTCTTGGAGGAGCACACATCATTTATTCACTACAAGGAAAAAGTTTACACTGAAATGGAACTTGGTATATCAGGGCTGCAGACAGGAGGCCCCAGTCCTGCCTGCTCCCCTGTCTGTCCCCACCAATAGCCACATGCTTAGGTAGGACAGCATTTTAAAGAGCAAATTTCAGTTATTCCTGTAAAATAAAAGAGAAAGCATTCCTCCTTTTTTGCATTATACAGAATTAGAAGTTAAGACTCTTGTAAAACTGCCACCAGCTAGGCTACAAAAGCTGAACTATATTTAATGTCCTGTTACCAAAGATGAGCAACATGCTTAATAAAAGAGTGTTGTTTTCTGACCTAAGAGTTACAGCTTAGATGACTTTTAACAGGCTTATAAACCCACATCTTGAATGCACTGTTATTGTGAAATCCCTGGATAAAACAGCTGAGAGCCTCCCTCCCTCAGGAGGGGATTGCCCTGGAAGCGGTGCTGCCTGAGACCTGGCTCGCAAGTGCAGATGTGGGCTCTGAGGGACAGAGCCCAGGCTCCTGCTCAAAGCAAGGACACTGCATAGCCAGAGCAAGTGGCAGCACGCACCCCACTCATAGCCCCCCTGCTTCCTCATGAAACTCCCTTCAAAGGCAGTCTCACTTGGTGCAGCTAGCTTTTGAAGTGCTTCCTTGAGCAATTAACTCGATCACTTACAATCCTTTCAGGAAGTGATGGCAGAAAATTAATAAAATAGGAAAATTGTGTCTATTTATATACATTATTGGAAACTAACACTGTCTGGAGAATATACGGTTAGATGACACATTCCAGAGCTGTATTCTTTTCCTTTCTAAGCGCTGGGTGCACATAAATGGGTTTTCTTTGCTTTCTTCTTTGCTGGTTGGTCTGTATAGCAATTTGGCTTTTCTTCACATGAACTTGCATTTCCTTCTCTCCCCCAAGTTTGCAAAGCCTGACTGATTATGAGGGTTGGTTTTTATTATGTAGACAGATATCTACTAAAACCAGGATGGAGACCCCCCATATTAACTCCCTGTTACCAGAACAAATCTCAGTACTGGCTTTGCCCCAGGAGAGTCTCATGGATGCTGCCCAGTTCTATGCAGTGCACAGCAGTAAGGCAGACTGCAGGCAGAGATAGTTTCCTTCATTAGAAAAATGTTTTTCAGTTTGTCTTCCATGGATCCCTCAGAGCAGGTAAATCCTTCTCAGGGCTCTATGAAAGATAGTTAAGGAAACAGGTTTGCTACCAGGGGGGCTAAATCTACAGCACAGAAGTACCTCCACAGGAAACTTTCAGGGAACTGCAAATGAAAAACCACCCAGCCAGGGGAGAGAGCCCTGTATGGAGCCAAAGCACAAGGCTGTGGCCTGGCTCCCCCATGCTCTTGCTGTGTTTGTGTAAGGCGAGATTTTCAGATAACATGTCTGTTTCTACAGCACGAAGATCTGTATTCATCCAGTCATCTCCCACTTAGTTCATTTTGAATTACAGCAGGGGGGGAAAGCACTGGGGATTTGCATGAAGGCGCCTGAGAAATTGAACCTGAATGCCTTTGTTTGCAGGTATAATGTTGGGAAGAATGGGGAACAGTGGCGTTCCTTTGGTCAGCTTTTGCCAGTGTTTAAACGAATCTGTCATGAAGATAGTGGCAGTTGCTGTTTGGTAAGTAACTGTTTTAGTAAGAAAATCAATATTTTTTTTAAAAAGTAAGAAAATTTCAACAGAAGAGGATGCACAGAAATGTCATAAACTTATTTCCAGGGAGATAAATGAGGGTGAGCAATCCTTAGCTTTGTGGGGGCTCAGCACTTGAAGGAAGATACATACACACACATCCTGTCCCTGGCTTGTACTGTCATTTTGACAGAGGCACCCTGTATATTACTCCTGAATAATGAAACATGGTATAGCTGGGTAGATGTGTGCTGTATGCGATTAGGAGCAGGCCGAAAGAGATTATAATACATCCAGCCCACACAAGGGAGGAGCGTGATGAGATCCTCGAGCTGGTACTTCCATCCCTTACAGCACTGCTCGACTAGAAATACTAGCCTGGCTTCAGCTTGCTCAGGAGAGGGCTGGGGTCTTGTGCTGACGTGACTGTACTGTTGTTAGCGTGGTTGCTGCTAGCTTGGCGATCTTTGCACTGAACAGCACAGTGGAGATGATATACCCAGAGTGCTTGGCACTCGGGATGTCTCCAGCAGAATAGCCCTCAATGAACCATCCTAGGCCATGTCACTTGGGAAAAGCCTTCAGAGCAATCCTAAATTACACTGAGAGCCAGCTAGACCTGCCAACCCACCTGCCCCAAAGATAAGAGGAACAGTAGGTGACTGCCAACAATGAAAACTATCAGCTTAGCATCTTCCCCACTCTTCAGAAGGTACCTCAGTGTGGTTCTGCCCAGGATCCTACTCTGGGGGGGGATCCTACTACCAGCACTCAGCCTTTGTTTCCAGCTACCTGGTCCAGTCTGACTGAGCTGGGTCAGGGAATGATCGCTTGGTTAGATGGGTCCAAGGGAGTAGTAATTTCTGGAAGGATGAGGGGGAAGTGGCAAGTCTCTGGAGATGGTATGGCTGCCAGTGGAAGATGGCTGGATGCCCCCAGATTTTTGTTTTTTTTTTTTTTTATCTTAAGCTCTTTCGGCACCCATGGCTTTGTGTCTAGCCATGCACAGAAGCACAAGTTTTGATAAAGCACCTGTCCCACATCCAGTCCAGATGGGGTTCAGAAACTAACTATTCTTCTGCCTATCTATCTGCCCCAAATCAAACTCCCAGGCAGTCCAAGAGCATGTTGAATGCATATTGGTATTTCTCCTATGTCTTCCAAAGGCAACATAAACATTTACTTAACAGTGTCCAACTAAAATCCATGAACAGTCACACTAGCACAAGCACATGAGCAGAGCTTAGGATTCATTCCCCCTCTCCCCAGTAAATGACCTGCCTTAAGCTAAAAAGTCAGAGCTGCCTTCTGAACCAAAACATTTTAAAGTCATTCCTGACCAACACCATAACCTCAGCTGTGCTGAGGAGTACCCCACATAAAAGAGTGTTTAGCCCGGTGTTTTGGGCACTCTCCTCAAGTGTGAGAGAGAGGGGCTTAATATGACGAAACAACGGAACCCAACAGACAGGCTGCTGTTACTGCACTGCTACTGGAAGTACAAGGCTTTCCCATCTCACACTGATGGAAGTGAGCTATCTCCTAATAATGACTGTCTTTCTTTTTGCTCAGGTATTTTCCATTTGGAATTGTGTTCCTAATTGCTGGTAAAATCTTAGAAATGGATGACCCTTCAGCCATTGGGAAGAAACTGGGTTTCTATGCCATTACTGTGGTTTGCGGCCTAGTGGTGCATGGGCTGTTCATTCTGCCAATGATGTACTTCTTTATCACCAAGAAGAATCCCATTGTCTTCATCAGAGGGATTCTTCAAGCCTTGCTCATTGCTCTGGCCACGTCCTCCAGGTATTACACAGTTTCTAGACAGGTGCAACAAAATACTTGCTAGATCCTTACTCCAGCTTTTTCCTGGGAACAGCACACTATATCTGTACTGGAGCAGATATATTTGTATCTGAACAATGGCCTGTGTCAAATTCACTGGTATATTTGTAAAAGATGTGTCTCTCAACATTTGGAAGTTAGGTGGGAGCCATTTGACAATGATGTTTGTCACATTGTTTTCCCTCAGTTTAAAAAATATGGGACAAAAATGTTTTTTCTTAGAGGACTAGAAAGGAAATAAGTGTGTTTGTCCATAAAAATGAACATTGTGCTTCTACAAAGTTAATATATATAAGGGACACACAGTTTGTCCAGACTTCATTTTTGGTATTAGTAGAGAACCTCCTAGTTCAGTCATGTGGAAACGTTTTACCCTTTCTACTCATCTTAGTCTTTGTTTCTTGGTACATTAAAAAAAGACTGTGGTTGCAAGCTATTGTCCAGCACTGGGAAAGTATTTAGCTGTTCTGCTCAAGGAATAATAAATTTTGCATCCTTTTTAGGGAGGATGTACAATGAGTTTTAACCATAGCTGAACAAAGGTACAATGAAAATGGGAAACAGCTTGTGAACTGGTTATGAAAATGGATATCCATCCCAACATGGATAAACTGGTGCGTGAGAAGTGCTTGAAAGGGCTGGAATTGACTTGCACGGAGTGGAGACAAGAACGACAAGTAAAATAACATTTCCCTGTAGCAATATAATGAAAACACAGTTTCATGGCATCTGTGGCTGGAGGCTTGTTACTCTGAAGTAACAAGAGCAGCTATGCCTACCACTTTTTATGCAGTAATAAAAGCCACAGTACAAGCGGAAAAAGCCAGGTAAATAGGTCTCTTTAGCACATCTTATATATTTATTATTTCTACTGTCAGCTGTAAAGGAAGAGGGCTAAAAAAGGAAAAGATACCTTTCTTTTATCTCATTTTTGCTTTTGGATTTTTAAAGTTATTATTGTTACTTTACAGAGAGACTGGAAAATACTAAATTCTTATCCAGATTTTGAAATGATGACAGCTAGTGACAAACACCTACCTTCAACTACCTAATTTAGACTTCAAATTAGTAATTAGTACAAAATCAATGATAAATTGCGAACATCTGTTTATAAAGAAACATAATGAAAAATCAAAAGGTTTTATTAACCCCAAAATATTTATGCTAATTAACAATAATGACTGAGAAGTACTTCATCTAGTTATACTTAGATACCGATTCCTTCTTCCATCTTATAATAATTTCTATAATAAGTTGAGCTCTGATGACTAATATATCCTTTCAGGGAATAGTATTGTACCAGCTTCTTATCCCTTGTGCCGCTAATCTTACTTTTCTCCATAACTTCCCAAGCTCCTTGAGAAACAATTCACGTAATCTCTCCTACAATGGAGTGACCCACTTAGAAATAAAGTGCATTTGCAATTGGTGGGATTACAGAAGGAAAAGGCAGGAATGACATATAGATAAAAAGTTCTGGAAAAGCAGTCAAACAAATATTGATTTAAATAACTTCTTTTTAATAGTCTAATAAGGGCCGTTATGTAATCAGCGCACATGACTTTCCATAGGGCATCATCACTGATAAATAATTATGTCAGTTTTGCAGAAATCTGGAACTCTTCTGCGAATTATCTAAGTAAATAAATACATGGAGAAGTAACAATGTAACTTTCTTGAACTCAGATTAGTTGATGTCATTCATTTTTGCTATAATCTTCTGCAAAACTTACTTTTGTTACAAAACATTACTTTGCAGTGTGGTAATTACCGTCAATGTTAGAAGAGAAATAATCTCTATTTTACTGAAGGGACAATGAAAAAGAGAAAACTTAAGTTGTACTAGACTTGTGCCAGACCTGGGAAAAGAGCCTAAAACTTTTATCCCCAGCCCATTGGCCTGATTAGGCTCATTATAGTTCTAGCAAGGTCCGACAAGGTAATCTGGGGGAGGAAGGTCAGATGCAGATGGCCGTTTCTCTCATGAATATACGTACAGTGGTTAGGGCAGGAGTAAGCAGAGCAGAAGGAATGTATAGGAATTAAAAGAACGGAGACGAGGGAAAGATTATTTCAGTACAGTTGGAAGCTATTGGCTTTCCACTATGTTTCATTTTACAAGGTGTTTTCATATATAACAGTTTGCTCCAAAATGACCTATGAAGAGCAACATACTGTGAAATACAAAGTCAAGAAAAAATTACGTGCTGGGTGGTGTTCTAAACTCTAATTAGGCTTAAATAATTAAGGCAATCTTTTTTATTAGAACATAAAAAGTCTGTAGCTTGAGATGTCATCACATCCCCAGATTCAAGTAAGATGCTAATTTTGCACTCAAAGATGTTAGTGTTGGAAAAGGCTCATCAAAAGGCTCGTCAAAAGGTTCACATTTGACACACTTGACTATCTGCCCTGCTCCTCTAAGAATTCTGTTTCTGAAGAACTCTATTGCTGACATTCATTTTTTTTAATCTGTGCCATTCCATTAATTCTCTTTTTCTAGAAAAGGTAATTTTTCTTAAAAATCTAATCTGATTTTTTCTCTTTTTAGGAAAAAAAGGAGAAAATTTTGTTCCTCATCTTTAGCATCTCTAGAAGAGTTTGTCCTTTTCTCTTCTTTTCTGTTATTAAGCAGCAAAAATAACCAACTTCTTCACCAGTATAGATCCCTTTATCAAGGGAGGTTTAATCAAGACTTAAAAGATCAGCACATATTCCACCATTTTCAAAAATAGATTACTTTTCTTAATTTTCCCTATTTTGCATCAGCATTGCATTTTGATTTTATAACCAATTTACTAGTCCTTTACTGGTCTGGAAACTTTCAGGGCTTGTGCTTGTTTCTTCATTGGATCTCATCTCCTTACTCTGTCTCTAGCTCTGAGAGTATCAAGCCACTTTACAATCACGAAGGGCCCTCTTTGCAGTTCATAATATATTCAGGTCCAGGTTGCTTGTGGTATATATATTGAGGTTAGAAATGTTCCAATGCCAATATCGTCAATCATAGTAATAAAACAAAAAGTCAGACACGATACGTAGTAACCATAATACACAACCGGATCTAGAAAGGTATGCAGGGGTTTTGATTCGCCTGTTTTACACGAGTGCCTAAGTTATATCACTACTTGGAGAAAGTTCAACAATGGTAGGTTTGAGAATTTTTAGATCAGTTATTTTTTTTCTCAATTACTTGTAGAAGCATAAGGAAAGAACATGTACACTCTCTAGCAAATGTGAGCTAGCTCTTCTAAAAAACCTATATATCACAGTGATTGTCATTGCAAAGCTTAACTTTTAGGCAACTTTCAACCATGTAAGATGCCTGTGGTTCATCTAGGAACTCAGCTCCTCATGGGGAGAGTTGGGCTCCTAGGAAAGAGCCCCAAAAGCCAGTGTGGTAAGGAGAGCTAGGCAGGCATCAGGCATAGCTATAAAGCAAAAATCTCAATCTGCAGAACTGGTGAGAGAGTGTCTCTCTCTGCTGAGTCCCTCTCAGGTAAGCTAATCCAAACTCGAGGTTTTCTCCAGCCCCATTTCCTTACCCCAAGCTGATGTGAGAGTGCCCGCTGACAGTGGGGAACTCATAGGGAATTCACCTTTCCCTGAAAACTGCACTGACTTTGACTCTCCTAGGCACTGACTCCCAGGAGAGAGCCCCTCTCCTGGGGGTATCGAGCATTTTGAGATAGCGCTCTCTCCCCTTCCACTGTGCAAGGAATAATTACATATTTGTAGGCCCAAAGAGGGTGTAGTTTGGCAACAGATTTCTGGCGCCAACTGGCAGCTCAGCTTGTCAAGAATCACCAGCAGGCCTTGCTACCAGAAGAGATTTAGTATCTTTATTGTTAGAAGCTAATGTACCGCCAAAGTTAAGGTGAGTCCTGAGGAAAGGCTCTGAAATTACGGATTTGGGGCTTGGACATGTTTGATGGGCTTAGCTCTGATTGCCCCTTCTTACCACTGAGTATATTTTGCAAATCCAACACAGGCCCAACATGGTTTTTAATGTTTTTCTGCTCAAATAGCAGTGCCTTTTCTAGAGATAGCTGAACTTTTCACCTTCGTTACACTGAAAGGAATGGATACTGCACATAACAGAGCTGTTGCCAAAAGAACATGCACAAATAATTGGGGCTGGACAGGAGAGCTGCTTCTCCTGACAGTCAACACATCTGTATTTGGTTAAATAATACTTGCCACAGGGGCATTATGTAACACTCATAATGTGGGTATTGGATTTTCAGATCATCTTAGAGGAGAACAAAGAATTGGTTTTAAGCGTACTGATGTGTTTCTTGCAGATGTTTCTGTGTCAGTTCATGTCTACATCTAAAGATAGAAAGAAAACCACAGATCAGTGTCCTGATATTCATTCCAGCTAGTCTGCACCTGTGGAAAGCCTTCTTTTTAAGCTAAAAGTCAAAGTGCAAGAATCAAAAACAATAACATGTACAAAACCAGAGAATGTAACAGAAGGGAACCTGAAAGCCACTAAACAGCCATCTCATGGCAATGATTTTATTGAATCTGAACATTATTTCAACCCATTTCCCTTTAGCAAAATGTTCTACACTCCATTCTCAATCCCCTTATATTTCTCCAGAAATCCCAATCACAGCAATATTTTGGTTTGCACAGACATTACTGGAGAGGCAGGGACAGAGAAGGAGATCTCTTATTCCTTTGGTGCATCATTTAGGACACAATGAACTCGATCCCTACGACTAGCACCAAGTCCCTGCACGAGCCACCCGGCCAGCCAGCCCCTGAAGCCAAACCCCAGTACAGGCTGGCTTTGCTACAGGCGCCCATAGTGATGTACACAGCTCCTCTTGGCTACAGCAGTAAGGTGGTACAGCAAGTGCTGTCATTGCTCACCTTGCCCTGCTCTGCGGTGTTCAGGCCACATAGCTGTGGATCTCTGACTTGCTGCTTTCTTCCCCCCACATCGCCCCTGATCTTGTCACCTCTTACTGTATTGAAAAAGCAGTATTTGGCCTACAGGCAAAATTCCTCTTGATTTTAACTTTCCTCATTCCAATGAGGGAATTCTATTTCTCTAGGTCATCTTTCCATATCATTAATGAATTAAAGCAGCATCTTCTCAGTGGTACATCCCATCAAAAGAAGCAATTTTCATCTTCTCTGAAGACAAATGATAAAACATGAGTTTTTCAAGGGTTTTGCTGCTTATGAAACACTACGATCTTGGCTATTGCACAGTGTAAATTAAAGGCAGATTTAGCAAAAGGGAGATGAGATCAGTTTGTTGATTTTTTGGAGCAAATATCAAAATGTATTTGAATGATAAGATAAACAGAGCAGGCTGAACAGCTGTTCTTCCACAGTGACTAGCTGTCTTTGTGGCTCACACTAGTAAGAGCTTGGCCTGATCCAGCATTAGCTTATGCTCAGTCTCTGCAGCTGCAGCATTTTATCCCAAAATTGAGATAAGACTGAAAATGTATTTTTAATTGTTAGAGTTAGTGCTGGGAGAAGATACCTCTCCTCTTTGCTGAAAGCTTTAGGACAGTTTTTAAAAGACTTAACAGATTAAGATCAGTGCTTTAGAGTATTTTTCCTCCTAATAAATGTTACATGTCAGGCTTTCATGTTACTGCTGCACTGTTTAACACTAGATAAAGCAGCTTTCAAGAGAACAAACTTCACCTAATTTAACTGGAAAGACGAAGTATTTGAGAATGTTTTTTCTTCAGCCATTGAAATTATATATTAATATAACTAAAAAATGACAGTAGGAACATGTTTTTTTCTTTGCCACTTGTAAGTCACCAACAGCCAAAGCCTTAAATAAGACACATATTTTCTGATATGTGCCAGATGATACATTATGAGTAAAAATGAACCATCATTGAACAAGACAACCTCTCCTAGGATACTCCCCATAACTTTTCTCACCTGTATTCAGGAAAAGTTCATTCAGATTGAAACAGGTGCCGAAAGGGTCATCAGGGATGTAAAGTAGCAATCTTGTCAGAGAAGACTTTAAAAACTCTGATTGGGTCAGTCCAAGCTGAGAGGGGGAAAACTGATTTCTAACAATAAGTGTTATAAGAGCTGAACTGATTTGTGCAAGGAGAAATGCATGAAGCACATAAAAGCAAATTTAGTGTAAATTGAAAAGAGTACATCTAGATGATAAATTGAATTTCTCATCTGAACAGTGAATTCTGGAAAGCCTTTCAATAGGAGTAGTTAGGACAGACAGCCTACTAGCTCTAAGATGCAGTGTCATAAATTTGAGTGAGACTATGTAGTAGTTGCCTGTGCTAGGAAGGTACAAGAATCTGGGACCTGGAAATTTGCTTCCTTTCAATATCTTGCACAATGTTTTTTATCATCATTGCACTTACATCCTGCCCATTTTCTTTTTTTATTATAATATTTAATAAACAACAAAACCAACATCTAGTTATGTGCCCTAGAAATGTTACTTCTAACAGCATAAAATTAAAATGAAAGAAGCACCTGACTCTCTGTGAGATGATGCACAAGTTTAAAAGTTGAATTCTTGCAAAAACAGTGTCGTACATTCCATTTACAACAGTGAAAATAGATACAGATTTTGCTGATTGTGCCCTTGGTATTATGGGATTGTTTTTCACAATCTTTGTCACATCTCAACCAAATTGGAAGATAGATGTCAGTCAGTTAAAATTTGCACATTTCACAGCTCAGCTCTCTGCCCTCAGAACAGGAAGGCATTTAGGTTTAGAATTCTGGTATGTCAAAGTATGGGCGAGGTGGAAAAGGACTTGTAAGACTACCTTTTTCTCCTCTTTTTCCCACAAAGAAATTAGACAGGGTTTTGTTACAAAAAAAACAAATGGCCAAGGAAAGACTGTCTTTAAAAACAAGTGACCCTCCACAACTAAAGTAGCTGCAGGGAAGGGAGACAATGAATAGTAAGTCTAGTAATTGCTTCCTGGCCATGCCTTTAGTTAAGAACATCCAGAAGTGTTACTGTGATGGTCTGCTCCTAGTTACAGCTACAGCAGGGGTTTCAGTTCTACATTATCTGTGAGCCCCAGCCTCACCCTTTTATTTTATGAACATTTAATGGTAAACAAGACATAGAGAATTTCAGTCATTCACAAATGAATGTGTGAAAAATGATAGGCATGCCCAAGAGAGAAATGACTTCTAATGTGTAGCTTGGGGGGTTATGCTTTGCTGTGTTTGTTTTTCAAAGTAAATATTGATTAAATATTAGGACTGCCAGAATGAAAAAGTTGAATATACCCCAGTTACCAGAGGTAATCAGATTTCTATTGCTTCCTTGACCTTTCAGTTTATTTGCATACTCAGAGAATTACTTTTGTCCAGATTTTTGTGGCAGTGACTGCCAGTCTGTAGTAAATCATTCACCAGTCAGACTTTATAAGGTTATAGAAAACAGAGATATCGTAATGAAAGCATAGACTTGTCTTGTTCCTTGTGTTTCTATTGCAGGAAGCTACTTTTCCTTTCCAAACACTGTTACTTTCCTCAAACAACAGCTTGCACAAACATAAAATGACAACTCCTGCTCATGGAAACGTTTTGCTAATGCATTCCTATGATTTCAGAGCTTTCAGAATCTCTCTGTGATTTTGTAGGTCACATGTAATGACTGAGAAAGAATTTGTAGATCAAGTGTCTTATCCTCTGTTAGGAACAGATAATGGTCATTGTAAGATTTAGATATCAGAGGCATATTGCTGATGTGAGGCTCACAACACAGAGCGACTGAGCAATCTGAACTGTCCAAACTAGTGGAAAGATGCCTGTATTTCATGACTTGGGGCATGCAGATCACAAGAGAACAGAACATTAAAGACCTTAGTATCATGATAGCAATATTTCCCCTCTAATTACTTGTCTCTTTAAAGAGGTAACTTTGGAATAATTTTGAAGGAGTTTGCTATTTTACATCTATTTAAATAGTCTCAAACACTGAGCATTATATTAAAATGAGTATCATGACAATGAAAATATTTTGCCATTTGTATCTTTTCTTCAACGTATTACTTATTTTCCGTACAAACTGGCATGCCATAAAAAACATCCCCTCACTCACTTGAATGCAGTTTAATTACTCATGACATATTAGTGAATGTGACACTGTATGGTAAAATGCAGAATGTTACGAAAAGGCTGATAAAATGTAAAGATAAACGTGTTTAGGTGTGTTACTATTTAAAAATGCATTGATCTTGCTGAAAACGAGGAAATTTATGACCAGATAATATTTAATTAATTGTGTCAGTTAATGAAAACAAAAATCAGATTTTTTTTTAAAGAGTATGAAATCAAGGGTTAAAGTTTGGAAGGGTCAAGCTCATTTTAAAATTAATACCTGTCAACAGTCTTACACAATTCCACTCCATTCCCTACCATTCTGCACGCATACATATTTATATCTCATTTACATACGTACACATTATTATATGACCTGCAATTATGTGATTGTTATATGATCACACAAGGGACATGGGCAGATCTGTCTCAGAGAGGAAATGGGATTGTATACTCCTGAATACAGGAGCTTGGTCTGTAGCTTTTATTTTCAGGCGTGCTGTTGATAAGATCTTTGCCTAACCCCTTGCAGAAGTAAGATACTGCTTACACGTGAGGTAGGACGTTACTGCATTAATGCATTCTGAGGCAAAAGAAGGAGTAGTTTCTTGGTCAGAGCTGTTGCCCACTGGGATGTTTTAGAGTTTAATCCAAGCAGCATTCCAATCTCTTGTAAACTCTCACTACCATTATAATTCGTTGCCTAAATTGGTCATCTAGTAACTGTCAATATGCAGTGAGAACTGGAACAATCCCTAAGGGCATTTATATAGCACCTCCTTACAATGAGTTAAGAGCCTTTCTTGCTTTATACTTTTCCTTGGTTTATGGTTACTCTTCCTGTTTAAAAATGGCTTTCTATTTCAGAAGGCTTGGAAGGAAACTTTTTTAGAAACCATGAATGCACAACAGTTTTCAGAGATTTTACTAATAAGCTGCACAGGGTGTTTCCCTTGTCTTGCATTTGAGTGTACAATACTGCCTCTGCGGGACTTCTGTCCCTTTTCTGAAGAAAGAAGGAAAGAGAAAATGACATTTTTAAGTTGGGGAAAGCAAAATTTGCACTAACTCTAGCATTTATACATGTAACTGCGTTTATCTCCCTCAAGCAAAGAAGTTACAGGGCAAGTGAGTTACACCTGCATACCAAAGAATAAGAAGCAGTACTCACATGGTTAGTGTAAAATTTACCCCACCTGGAGAACTTTTGCTACAATTTGTTCTATTCCCCAGAAATAGAAATAATTCAATGTGTGCTTTTCTCCACTGTTTTGCAGCTCAGCCACACTGCCTATCACTTTCAAGTGCTTGTTGGAGAATAACCATGTAGACAGGAGGATTGCGAGGTTTGTGCTGCCTGTGGGAGCCACCATCAACATGGATGGGACAGCACTCTATGAGGCGGTGGCTGCCATCTTTATTGCTCAAGTAAACAACTATGAGCTGGACTTTGGGCAGATTATCACTATAAGGTATAAACTTCAATTTCCACATGCTGTGGTCTGCTTGTCTTGTTAAGTCTGACACTCTTACAATTCTTGTATGTAGCAATGTTCAGAACGAAACTCATCTTTGCTATTGCCAAAGAATCCATTCCTCATAGGATGATTATCTTTAAGTAATGCAGAGATAAGGGACTGTACAAAGGGAAATTGTATTGGTACTGTTCAATAGAAGCATGTAGACACCAGGAAATCTGTTTCTGTTTGAGGATAACTGTATAATTTTTACTTTTAGGCAACCCATTGATCATTTACTAGGATTGGAATATTTTACTATTATTATTGGTGTTTAAAACACTATTTTAAATGTCAGAATTGTTTTCAACTTTAACTCTGGTTTGCATCTTTACATGAGAGGAAAAGGTTAAAAAATCCGCAAAACACAAACATAAAAAGTCCTGTATCAGATAACAGGGAATAGGATGTGTTAAGAAGCTTTTTTCAAACCTTGGAGGAGTAGGGGAACAGAGAAGGAGGACAGATGCTACTATCAGGGCAGGTTTTCATGAAGATGTCATATCAGTCAGATATTTTTTAAATGCCTTTTCTGCTGCTTGTTAAAGCAGAAAACTTCATAAACAACCATGCTCTCAGTGGGTAGAGAGTGCTATAGCTGCATACTCCGTCCTTGAAAGGTCTGTAATGGATCCAAAAGACTAGAAGATCCAGCTGAACAATTACTGCCAGAATAACTCCAGTGGCTGCCAAAGAATGCCTCAGGGACCGAAACCTGCAGGTTTCCAGCAGGGAACAAATGATTAGAAAAACATTCCTCATAGTCAGAGCCTTGTGCAACATATTTGAGATCTGCTTACCTACCCACCCAGTGACCTCATCACTTCCCCGTTTACACTGCTGGGCCTTGCCAGTCTTCTGCTGGACTTGAAAACCTTCATGACAAGAGGAGGAGAGTCCTGAAGGTAACCCCAGATGACAGCTGAGGTTTGCTAATGGGCTTCTGGCAAGATCTGGTTAGACTAGAAGCAGAAGAAATAAATTGTGCCCATATGAGCTTTTGCTTCAGGCTCTCTCTCTCTCTCTTTCTGAAAATTATTGGAATAACCTGTGCTAAAATTTAGCCTTTGGTGATTTTGAATTTGGAGATGTTTTTAGAATGTGGTCCCAAAATATGGCCCAGAGCATGGGCAGACATTACACACACCTTGAAGTAGAGAATGGTGATTTGAAAAATGAAGGAGAAGGAGGGTGATAGTAGATGGAAGGAAGGCAAGTTCTAACTTTCTCTTAGCAGAACCCTATTTTATCTCTATTTTCACTCCCCATATTATGTGCTAGTACATAAGGACCAGAAAGAAGTAAAGACAGCAGAAGGAAAATAGAAATGAAGATTGGAAAAATCCAAGAAAGGAAAAGAAATAAAAAGACTGACTTAGAAAAGAAGGGGGTAAATAGGAAATCACAGTGGACTCAGTACCTTCAATATCTGAAGCCAAATTCTAACTGTATTCTATGGGCCAAACCTGCCTCAGATCTTGATACTTTAGGATCTGGAGATTTGAAATTCAAATATTCCTGAGTGTCAGGATATTTTTGCCAGCGGGGAAAAAATGTTAGAAAAATTATCAGTCTAATTTGCTCATAATCTGTAAAATCCAGGTTGACAGTTTATGTCAATGTGATTATACAAACCTAGATGCAGCAGAAAAAGAGATTTAAGATCCTATTCCTATCATTTGAGCATATTATAGGAAGAAACTTCTACATTAAGGTAATAATTCAATGGAACAGCAGATGGGCTTGCCTGTACAATCTTAGTTAAACATTCCTATTTTTGCTCCCAATTAAGTCATGAGACTTTCTGGCCTGAACTGTCTTAGGAGGCAGAAGCAGTCCTAATCAGCTAGCCAGTTTATGACACTAACTGGAGAATCTTTTAATGTTCATTATATTTATCTCTTACTCAGCACCTGAGCTTCTCTCCCTTCCTTTCTATCTATACTCTGCCTGTTACAATCCTATTAGAATGCTATACAAGCTAACGCTTTCAAAATGTAGTTTTAAATCTTTCTCATTCCCCATCACACCCACATGTGAATGTATCTTTTTTAGGGCTCTAGTTATAAATACTGATGCTGCTCTACTGGTACACTGTACAGCTGTGAGCAAGATACTGGATATCTCTGTGTCTCAGTTTCCATATGGGTGCATAATGTTACCCTGATTTTCCATCATAGGAGGTTGATGAGACTTAACTGCTTGCCAAAAGCTCTGAAATTCTGGATTGATGAATGCAGTGGATTATCAGTGTATATGCTTTATGCCATCCTTTTACAATTGTCAACATTCGTTTTTTTGTCTTTCTGCTGGATGGCCTAGCTCTTGGAAGTGGCCAGATGGACAGAAATGAATACATCCAGTCACTTTTGCTCCTGGAAAAAGGAATGAAATCCCTCCCCTAAAAATAGCATTATGAAAAAAAATATTAAGCCTGCCAGGTCCACTCTTGCCCTGGTCTCCCATTCATTTCTGCTTGCCTGGCTGAAAAAACGGTGTGAAGGTCAAGTAAAAATACTTTCCCGAAACTGAAGAGGTACAGTCACATTCATGCTTGCTTCATATTTAGATCCAAGTATGCAAAGCCATGTGCTATGCAAGGACTTCACCCTTGGCCCAGCCTCTTTACCCTTGGCCTAGCCTCTTTGTGATGGATTGACATTAAAGGCCTTAGCCGCAGCCAGCCACGGATTTGCCTGGCACAGGAACTGCCGATGATGACTCAGAGATGTCTGCTGGGAGCTCTGCTGCCAAGGGTGAAGCAGCGATGAGGAGTGCTGGCAGATTCGTGGCACACAACGCTGCATGGTGCCATGAACAATGAGAAGCTGACATAACTCAGAGAAGCCCACAGCCTGGCTGCCCCCCCTTTCTCTACACTTGTGATACTAAGAGATAACAGAACTGCCCCACCAGAGCCAAAGCTGCAAAGGTAGAGGGTGAGAATTTAGCACTGGGCAGGCAGTTTGGCCTGTTCTTGCTCTCTGACCTGGCTTCTGTCCACAAAACCCTCGCACTTCTGTGCAGTGGCTTGTGTAAGAAGGATTATGGTTTAGGAAAGCTCCTGTAGAAACATGGTGTGGTTTCTTGCAGAGCAACCCATCACTGGTAAAGCTTATTCCTTTCTTTCTTTGTTAAAGTATCACAGCAACAGCTGCAAGCATAGGTGCTGCAGGTATTCCGCAAGCTGGCCTGGTGACAATGGTCATTGTTCTGACCTCAGTTGGGCTCCCAACAGACGACATCACATTGATTATTGCCGTCGACTGGGCACTGTAAGTAACATTAAGCTTTTGAGATTTCCAGTGTGGCAACATTGCTAAAAAGGCAAATGGTCTCCAGGGGTATAGTATTACCAATATACATAAAAGGCATGGAAAGTAATTATTTTGCTTGAAATGCTGCTAATGTGGCCTCAGATTAAATACACTGCCAAAGTGGGCATTATATTGAAAAAAGACATAGACAAATGAGAGAAAGTCTAGATGTCTCATCTGGACAATATGACGTACATTGAAAGGCTGAAGAAGCGGAGTTCGTTTAGTCTAAAACCAGAGCAGGCTGAAAGAGGTCACCACAGCAGTTTCTGATATAGATAAGATTGTCCTGAAGACGACAGTGATCAATTGTTCTTCACATTCACAGGGAGGGAGGATGAAGAAGTAGACCAAAGTAACTACCTTAAGTCAGATCACAGGAAAACTTAAGAACGATTTTTATCTAGAAGGATAGTCAGGCAATGGAAATGACTGCACCTAGCCAGGTTCAAGGATGACCTTCATGAGAAGTTTTAAGGTCAGGTCAGACAAATGTCCATCAGGTGCAACTCTGGCACCTTGCCTTGGACCAGGACAAGGGGCTGACATTCCTAGGAAATGTGGTTTGCCTGCACTCCGCTTATCAGCCCACTGATGCTTCAAGGACATCATCTCAATGTAGTGAAGCACTCTGCAAAGAGGCATGAGCCAGTGCTAAAGCAGGCAAGTACTCCCGCACCACAGTTACCGCTCTGCCTGAAATAGCCATGACAGTACAGTAATGGTTTGTGCTGTATATTAGCTACTACCACGGTAACTAGAACCATGATACAGTCAACCTGAATGTAATACTTGCAATGCACTGCATTAGGACTAATAATGTAATGTCTTCCTTTTATCACGGATCCTGATGCAATTCTGCTCTTTCTGATTTCAGTGCTAAATAGGCAGCAGCAATTTGTAGCCGCCCCCCCCCATGTTTTGCAATGCAGCCATTCTGTGGAGAGGTTGCTTTGCTGCATCCCTAATCACTGAGGATTTAACAGCAGAGGCAGAGGCTAAAACCTAACACACTCAGAATAAAAGGGATTCGTGTCACCCATGAGAAGAGCCGCTATAAAAACTCATAAGGATTGGTTTATTTGACCTCTTAACTTTTATGTAAATGTCCATAAATCAATCAAACAATTTTGAATAGTCTAGGAAGATGAATCATAAAATACTGGTCCCTAGCTCATTAGCATTTCAATTAGCAACATAACTAGCGTATGCATCGACAAGGAAACAGTCCAAATTATTTTTTATTTAACCTGTGTAAAATATATCTCCATTAATACAATGGAATTTCATTACATCAAGGTTCTGGGTAAAAATGTGTTACAAGTCCATTCTTTTATATATCCTATTTTATTCAACTTCAAGCCACTGATTTTTTGTACAAAGAATTGTGAGAAGGAATTATTTACTTTCCTGTTCAGTGTAATAGAATGTTGTTATTATTAATAATAGGAGTCATGAGTGTTGTATTGTATGCATATTTTAAGACATATTTTATTTTAGCAATATCAGAAATATTATTCTGTAAAGGATAAATAATATCTGCTGTGGGCACCTAAACTCGGGAATGGCAGTTCGAATTTTAATAAAGCAGCCTATCTAATGCTAGTCACTGAAGCTCAATAGTTAATGAAGCACAACAAAATCAAAGTATTTTAAGCTGTATTACAAAAGCCTTTTGCCTCTATATTGCTCACCCACTATGTTTTCACCCAGCTCTTGCAACATCAACATTTCATTGTTTTTCCAGTAAGTCTTCCAGCGTATATGGGAATTATGCTTCTTTTTGTCTTACAAAACTTTTCGAAACAACAGACAAAAAACTTTTTCAGGCTATAGTTCCAGATGGTATTAAAAAGTGAGCAAGGAACAGACCCAATTTTCTGTCTTTTGCAGATGACCTTTCATACAAAAAGTATATTTCTGTATTTCGGCACTTGGTGGTTTCAAGAGCCTGCAGATGCAAAGTGTCAACATGGTTGACATGATGAATATTTTCAATATTAGTTTTGGAAGTACTGGAGTATGAAGAATGCTCAAAGAAGGCTGGTTAGATGATCTCACAAGACTGAAATACCCATTACAATGCACTGCAGGTATTACAACTCATTTAGGTAGCCATAACATGTATGTGAACTTCATACCTTTAGCTAGTGCCTAGAGACATAAAGAAGAAAATAAAATACTTTCTCAGTTAATTTATTAAACACAAGGTAAAAATTCTGCATCTTTAATTTTGCATCTTTAATAATATCATCTAAAGCTAAAATACCACTGCAACACCTGACTCACGTGTTTGCACTGAAAGAAATGCCACTAGCAGCAGGTTGGCCTCTTAGTGGAGAAATGTCAGTGATGTGCAGTGTGGTTCTATTCATGTGTAGCGCAGACTACTCCGAACACATAGAAACATGGAATAGAACTGGTCAAACAACATGCCAGGCAATCCTTTTTCTTAAGAGTTTCAGTATGGTGCACTGTTTTCTCAGAAACATTCTGTCTTCAGAAGAGATGCTAATCAGAGCCCAAAAGGGAGTGCAAACTCTTGAGTTCTGCTCATACAGCTTCTTGTCTAACACAGCTGACTTTTTGCACAATCCAAAATTAACAACTCAGAATATCGTTCCAAGAATCAAAATTTTATGATCAACCAAGGAAAAAAAAGTCTATCAATATGTGCTGTAACAGTATTGTTCTCTGCTTAACATATTCTTGTGGGAATTTTCCTCAAGGCAAAACCCAAAATCAGAACAGTAGGAATCAGAAAAATGGATTCAGCAAAACAAGTGTAGGACTGGGTCCTGGAGTCAACAACCACATCTAGGTGCAGGCTGTGGAATATTATTGCTGAAGTTACTTGCAATTGCATGTACAATTTGGGTAACTGCACATGCAAATAACCTTTCATGCAGGAACTTTCATGCTAATTAGGCAAGCAACTGCATAAACATTTGCATGCACAGAGTACATGCCTAAAATATCTGAAAAAAAATCAGCACACAGTTTCAATTATTTTCTATATTAAGATACGGCATCAGAAATCTGGGCAGTGTTGATATTGGACTGTCACTGACTTTAATAAGCCAAACATCTGGAGATTTCTGAACCGCCATTTTATAACCCACGTATATAAATCAAGTTACCAATATGACACAGTTTTCACATGTGTATGTTTTTCTTGGAAAAGACATGATATATTTCAGACTTAAAAGCTATATCATCTATTTGAAATCTCGTCAATTTTAATTAATAGATTCCAAGCTGTTTCAAGTGTAACACTTGTCTATTACAACCACTTACTTTTGTGTATTTACAGTCTGTATTTTAATAGATTTTTTTTTTTAGACAGTGGGTAGAAGGTGTAAACAGGGGAGAAATGATCCCATAAATGAATAATGAAAAATAGTGAAACTGTATATATACAAAGTACTGTCAAGCATACAAATTTAAATTGGAAAAGATGATAACTGAAAATGAAGAATCTTTAAGAGCCACTGGTAGCCATAGCAACCATAGCTTTTTCAGAAATGAACAGGATTTAAATATGGTCAGTGCCTGCTTAGTTTGTGAGTGTAGTTATTTAGCAATCTTCTGAATAATTTTGATTGTATTCTGCACATTCTAACAATACAATAATCTTAACTAGCACTTTAGTTGCTGAGAGTGGGACCTTGATAACTAATACAAGGTACTGGTTGTACTGGCTGCCCTCTACTTTTATTAAATTAAGACATTTGCAGCCCCAGCCTCCAAATCAGGCCATAATACTGGACCTTAATATAAAAACTCGGACATAAATGCAATCTTGATCTGCTGTGTTAAACTTTTTTAGGGCTGAATCAGCTTGCATGTATAGGGAAGCATAGCTGTTCTAGTTAGCTCAGTTACAAATTAAGATATGTGGCAGCGCAGGGCACTGAGCTCTGAAAAGGCTGGAAAACCCAACTGAGCAGCTCAGTAACTAGTGGCTTCCCCGTGCCAAACTCCTTCCTACCACTTCTAAACTTGTTAGCTCATAAAAACAGCCAAACTGGCCTTCAGCTATAATTACTGCAGTGATGAAGGCATAGGCATGTACCCAAAGAGCCAACAACTTACCATTACTATTTCATTTTCCAGAGACAGGTTTAGAACAATGATCAATGTCCTGGGAGACGCGCTGGCTGCTGGGATCATGGCCCACATCTGCCGGAAGGAGTTCATCAAGGACAGTGATGAGGTAACAACGCCATGAGCCAGGGTGTGCAGTGTGTGCTGTATTACGGCAGAGAACCTGCGAGCTCTCAGCCTCCCACATTTGTTTTATCTGATTTATAAAAGGTGTTTCAGAGAGAGGACAGAATTGGGCAATGTGCTGCTTAGCCAGATGGGGTGGAGGGGTCCTTTTCCATGAGGTCATGCAAAAAGCCACACAAATTCAAAGCTTGCCAGCCAGCTGTGTCTGGCACGCTGGGGCTGGGAGCAGGAGAACCAGCTGCACTGTCTTACAAATGCATGAGATGCTGGAACTGTGAGTCTCACAGTCAGTACCCAAGTCCTGACTGGCCAGTAAGTCGTCCTTCTTCTAAAAATGTGACCAGCAACAGAGCAGGGTGACAAATGTCCTTAAGTATTTGTGTGTAGGGGCAGGTAAAGGTATCTATGAGTGCATATGTACATAATCAATAAGCTCACAACAAAAGCAACTACCCTGGGTGTTTCAAGCCTCTGTGTTAGCATAATCTGAAGCCACCATTGCAATAATTTCCTTTCTGGACTAGCACAAGCACATTGCTCCATTCTTGACTTCATTCTCAATCATCTTCATGCCTTCTACATTTAATACAAGTCCCTCCTTACATCTTTGTTTTTCCTTCTCTGTATCTTATTCCATATACCACACAAACCTCTATATTCTGCCCCTGCCTCCCTCCAATCCTATGCTTTTTTTCTTTCCTCCTTGGCATGCATCGTTCAGTCTTTCCTTATACCAGGAACTCCTTCTCATGCTCTTCCTTCAAATCCTTGACAAAGGAGATTCCTAATTCCACAAGCCCATCATGCTTGGAGGTGTTAATCTCCAACCATTTCAGCTCATGGCAGACTCTCACTGCCTTTCTTCCACAAAGACTGAATAGTTTATGCAGAAAAGTTTCTTCATCAAAACTGATTTTCACAAGCCAAGTTTCATTTCTGTGTATCATTTGTAATATTCTACAAAGAACAGCAGTATTAATAGCAAAGTTTTATTTCTGTTATTATTTCTCCCATTTTACAGACAGTCTTTCTGGTAAATCCCATTCTCCTGCTTTCCTGCAACATGTATTTAAAATTCCTGCTCTTTCAAGTTTTATATAGAAAGACAGGCTTTATCCGAGGTACTTAGCACCTGCAATAATTACAAGATTAGGCCTGAATATATGGGCTACACATATAGCTAGCTACAAAAAACCTAAACATACAACCTAATGGTAAGGTATGTCATCTGTTACAAAGCCAGAAGTGTAGTCTGAATCCCTGCATAAACATCAGGCCTCCTGACATTTCGTTGCTGTATTTAGAACTCAGTCAGAACTCAAGAAGAGATGTTTCAAGAATATAAAATCCCTCCTAAGGGATTATTTAGTCATCCGTGATGAGATTTTTCTTTGCATCGTGCTCTATAATTGTATTAAAATATACCATTAGTCTGCTATATGTTTTGCCTGCATAATTTGTGGAGTTAGTAATGTATACCTGAAGGCCAAATTTTCTCAGCTGCAAGCCCACCTCTTTTCTCTGCCAGTATTTACGTCTTATTTTCCCCATCAGCAGTTCTGGTTTGATTTAAAGGACACTTCAATATTTAACTTATGAATCAGTCAATAGAATCCTCTATTTCTTTTGAAATAATGCAAACTGAAAAGACAGGTGTTGGTTTATTGGGTTAGAAGAAAGGCAGAAGACAACAACAAATACTTACTGGTCTATGTAATTGCACTCAAGGGCAAGCACTGCCCAAAGCTCAGCATACTGGTCATTGAGAGTCCATATCTTTCTAACTTAGCCCTGAAATTCTAGTCTTTATTTACCCTCCTTATATCACTTTACTGATGCAAGCAGTTATTACTGTGGGTATAAGTTAAAGTAGAGTTGTGGCAGAATTTGCATTTTTACATACTTCAGGACACCTTCACTTTATCCAGATGGTGCAAAGATGCTTTAGTGTATATGAGAAACAGGTCCTGGAAGTCTGTGGAGGCCCTAGATAATCCTGGTGAATGTAAAGCAGACCCCAGGCTTTCAAAGTAAAAATTCCTTTCCTGTTGTATACAGCAAACAGGGGCAGTATTCCAAATCTTAATGCTTTTCACATAGGTGCCATTGATCTGTGAAACTAAGCCTATTAACATCCATCAGATTGTGGCTTACCAGAGAAATGGCTGTGTGAAGACCATGAATGAATCTCGTGGACCAGAAACAGTGAAAGGGTTTCAGCACCACATACCCGTACAAGTGGAGCAAGAAGAAAGTCCAGTGGAGAATCACACTAAGAAATCCAACAGTAAAGACCACTGCACTATTGAAATAAATGAACTAGAAACAAATGTGTAACTGCTACACTCAGTGGTATCTCATACCCCAGTGACCTGATACCCAATCTCTACCTCACAGCTGGAAGAGGGACTCTTTGCCTTGAACAGGAAAATGCGGAATTATCGCCACCCTGCTTGTACTGGAGCTAGGAGACCAGCTGTGAACGTCAGGAAAGGCACACAGCTTGCAAGAGACATGGGCTTCTTTAGGTGGAAGATTTTAATACTGAAAAATTAACTAATGGCTGACTCCTGCTTTATTCTGCACTCATTTGACTCCAATATAGTATTTGACACTCCTTTGGCTTCTTTTTTTAAAGTTTTTTTTATTTGATCCTTTTTGATTTTCTAACCAAAGCCTTTTTTTGTGAATCTCCGTAATTATGAACACTGTATTTATGTAGATTTTTTGCTATGTGAAAATGTTTCACCAAAACTGCTAAAGATACTAATTTTGTCTAATATTCGCTAAATATAGAGTTTGTGCTTAGTTTTAGAACAGCAGTAAGAAAATCACACTGATTTCCTGATCTCAAGGGGTTACATATATTACTAAATAACACTTCAAGCAGAGGTGAAGCAAAGCATGCATTTTTGCAAGAAAGCACATTAAGGTAATTCTGATGGGCAGCCTTCAAAGACAGGCATTCAAGTGTGATACATAATATGAAGAATTCCTAGGTCACTGCAGAGCACAGTTTGCCTTCCAAGTGCCAGATTTATTAACCTTTTTTTAACCTAACTCTTCTGTAGAGTCAGTACCATGCACATGCAGTGGCAGAGGTGATGTGAGCCCTAATCCATAAGCACTGGTGCTAATGTGTCCTCTCCTGTAATCTGTAGGTTCTACTGTAAATATGTATAAACCCAAAGCCCAAGCTCATGAACCATACGCTTCATCCTAAGGGCAGACTGAACACAAACTGGAACATGATGAAGCTGAGTAATATTGGGGTTTTGTGAGGAGTTTGCTGTGGAAACTGGCCCGTTATTTTTCATAATTCAGTGGTTGATCTACCATGACAGTTACTCCCTTTCCACTATCTACTGAACCTTTCAGTTACAATAAAATCTGCTGAGTATGTTTCCAATATTTGTGATAGAGAACATTTTTAATAAAACTGCCATTTAAAAGCGGGCTGTCTGTGCACTTCTACTATTAGTGTCTTCTTACTTTTCTGCCAAAATGGAGAGTGGAAGTGAGGAGACCTTTCGAAAAGTCAGGATTCGATCCAGAGATTACATACTAGTTCACACCAATACACTTGACATATTATATTTAGCCTCTTGTGGCATATCAGTTTCAGGTAACATGTGTCTGGCATTATAATATGCCCCTCTCATCTGTAGAGAAAAAATAATCCAGTCAAAAAGGACAATTTCTGCACTCACCAGAAGCAGAAGTGCTTTATACACATGATTAATGGTTTTCCTGGGATGTGCATATTCACCTCTTCTTTGAGGGCTCCTGTTCAGACTATTTCTTTTGTCATGCACTAATTAGTTGCCTGAGAGGGTTGTAGTATATGTAGTTTAAATATCAAATGGTAGAGCCAGAAAGAACAAACATACATCTTATTTACCTATAATTCCTCAGAAATGATGTATTAATTTGAAAATACATACAGTTGGAAACTATTTTCCTGATTTGATCCTAGAGTGAAAACAACAAACACAGAACACAAAGAATAGGGAAGAACTGAAATTATTCAGAACAATTTGCTCCTGAACAAGTCCTGTAATGGACCTGCTCTACAGAGTGCCATTAAAATGAGTGATCTGGGAGAGCTGAGGCTGGTCTGTGCCTCTCTGAATGAGCAGAAGCACTAGCTGACAAACACAGCATCTGATACTTTCATCTCAGCAGCACTGGCAGCTCCAGGGGGTCCCCCTTCATCCTTCCCCAGCTCCCCATTCCTCCCTGCACTGCCTCCCCTCCTCTCCCAGCTGTACAGACCCAATTATTTATGAGGCCAGATGAAGAATCAGATGAGAAGTATTTTTAATTCAAACCAGTTCACATATGTTTTTAGCACAGTCCTAAAAAACAGTTGTGTCAACACAAGTGAAGGGGTGACACAGGGACAAGAACAAGCAGCCAGGGATGAAACAGCCTAAGAGCGCATGTAGGGAGGGCAGGACCTCTGCATGCTGACTTTCCCAGCAAAGAGAACGTAACATGAACAACTTCACACAGTCAATTACACCTATGTGAAGTGATAGTAAAATCCTGCCAGTCATCTATCACTTTGCATAGATAAAAATGATGAAGAAAGAGGCCAAGTAGATCCAAGATTTGGAATGAGTAGTTCCAAATCAAGTGGTTTAGGATGAGTCTGCCCACACACCGTGCCAAGGTGCCATGGTCTGCCAAGCAGAAAGTGCTGCTAGCCTTACCACCACCTTCTTCTCCAGCCACCTACAAGCTTTGGCTAACTACAAAGTGCAAATGCTTTTGCCTGCCTGCCTGAGACAGCTTACTTAGTCTGACACTCTTCAGCTTAGCCATGTCTCAAGAGGTCTCAGGCAACTCCAGTGCTAAGAAGCTGCGACTTCTACAAGGAGAACTTCAGATGAGATAAAGCATCAAAGACCAGAAGAAGCAGCCAGTTGAGCTACACAAATCCTACACAATAAAGAAAACCACAATTTTTCCCTTTACACTCTGGCGAGCAGGGAATGTGGAAGTCTCATGTGTGAAGGCATATTTTTATGGAATCAACAGGCTGTTTTAAAATTAGCCTTCTGCATTCAAACTCTATTCATAGACTATCCAATTTTGCTTTGCAAATTTGAAATGCATTTTTTTTTTTACATTATATTGTTCAGGTCTTTAAAACTTGGGTTTTATACCAATGTGTGCCTCCCATTCACCCTAAAAATTACACCAATCATAACTTAACATTATCTTGGTGAGTCACTGTCTCCTGTAGTTTGGAGCTACTGTTTGGTGTCTTAAGTTTTGCTTTGACAAACTCTTTCCGGGGCAAGTTTATTTTCTGTTGATGTTGTTTAGGGCCTTGCACCACAGTGGCAGCTGCAGCGTGAACCAGCTGGGAGGAAGGCAGCGGTCCAGTTTCTCACCTGACCTTTACAATTTGTGGTATCAAATACTGGTAACTAGAGGCCTACAGCACTTTAGTTCTTTGTTCTGGTAAACATGTGTTGCTTAGTGTAGTGCGACCTTGACTGGAACATCTGACTGCTACTACAGTCATTCTGTACTAACAACACAAGACACCACTGTTAACTGTGGAGAGTTAAACACTGAAGTTAAAATAATTTTTATGGTAAGCTTTCCTCCATGTTAGCTGTTTTCTGTGTCTCATGGTGTTTGTTGTCAAGGAGCTTGACACATGGTGCAATTAGGCTAGCAGTCAGTACCATATCATATTTGCATGTATGGATCTGTTCACATTTTCCAGCTATAATCACACTTCCTTCCAAAAAACATAATGAAGCTGTTGATTATCAAGTTAGAGTGCAAGCTTTGTGTTGGTAAATATGTTTCTCCTACTTTCAGAGCATAAAAACAAACGTGACCTTTATAGTCTCAAAACTTTTATATTAAAAAAATCAATCAATCAACCAATCAATCACTAATTACAACAGTTTGCATGGAATACTTTCAAGTATATGTGGAAAGAACATATTTCTTAACTGGCAACATTCAACCGTATTTTGAAGTTGCCTCCCCCTGCTAAAAAGAAAGGGAACTTAGCCAATTAAAGTATACTCAAGACACACTAGGAGAGAGTATTGAGGAGGGAGAGAAGATGATTAAGAAGGGTGATGCATTGTATACAGCTATGGAACAAATAATTTGGGAAGTAACTCAAATTAACACATATTTACCAGAGACAGTCATTTTATGCTGGTTAATTTGCAACTGCATTGCTCTAGAGATACTACTGAGAGGACAGAAGCCACTGCAGATTGTTGTGGCATAAAACATCATTAAAGACATCTTAAAACAGGTTCTTGAGGATTTTGCCAATACCAAGGAAGTTTTGAAGTGTTGAATTGCTGTAATAAATCCTTGTGCAAGAAAATTAGAACTGGGAGAAAGAGACACAACCAGAGCACTTACACATCCCACTAACTCCCAAGAGCTTTTGGCTGCCAACCCAAATACGGAAGTTTATGGAACTAATAGTTACTCATATTCTCAGCTAGTCTTAATTGATGCCACTTAAATGACTTAATTACAGCTAAGCTTATTTGTGCCACCTGAATACGTATCCCAGCATACAAATAAGATGATCTAAATAATTACCCGAAACATTAACTCGTAGACTCCCTCCATGCTATACTAGCAATTCTAAAGCACTTAGAAAATACAGTAACTCTGTAATGTCACCATTCGATAAGCTCTCTCAATTCTACAACAAACGTTAATTTTAGTCCCTTTTTAAGAGCAGCAAACTGATTTGTAATACTTTCAAAGCAGATGGAAAGCTTCATCTTCAAGCCAGATGGATAGTCTTGGAAATGACCTCAGTCCTTTCCGTGCTTTCCATAAAAATGAAGTAACTACTAGCAGAAGGTGGCTGATGCGTGCAAGCAAAATGTGTAACCTGGGAAATGAATTGAATCTGGAAAACTCAGGCTGCCTTTGATCTTGCCCAGTGCTAAGTACTCCTGTGTCTGTGTCTCTACTGAACGACCAGGTGCGTTTTTACATCAAGACAGCTATCTTTCATTACAGTCACAGTGGCAATGAGGAATTCCTGGTTTTCGCCTCCAGGCACTAAGCTGGCTGAGATCACAGCCCTCCAGCTGAGGACTAAATACAGTGAGGAGAGAAAGCAATGTAGGTTTTTCCACAAGGATGCTACTGCTGCCTATCTTGCAGTGGGGGAGCATATCTTTTTGCAGTCATAATGACTGGAAAATATCTGACTTTGCCTCATTTGAAAAAGAGGCCACAGAACAGACAAATTCAATGCATCCATTCACTAATGGCTGAGCTGCAAATGAAATACATGTATTAAATTTCTCACTTTAGCCTATGATTTC